TTTGGGAGAGAGAAGCAGCAGACACTCTTGCTGGAGCTAATGAAAATTCTGGCACATGCAAGTATTGAAAATCTCTGTTCTAAAATACCATAAAATAGATCTGCTTTTGTTGTTAGTTGTTAAGACAGTAGGCTGACATGCTTGATTACTTGTTTAAAGAATGTAGTAATTGAAAATTTTAGATGTTATATGTTTATTCTTTAATTCATAGGGTGTTTTGACTATATTACTTAGAAGCTTGTAAGTTTAAGAAATGTGAAATCTCCTGACTTTTTGTATTACTTAGAGACTTGAAAGTTTGAGTAATGTGAAATTACAAGTATTTCCTGTCTTTTCATCCTTTTATTTAGGAATAAATTATAGCCCTATTAAAAAGCAATAAAGCTTAAAAGAATATTCAACAGCTTTTTTGCAATCTCTGTATATTGTATTGTGGGAAATGGTTCTCTGATGGGTTGATTTTAAGATATGGTATGTGAAGCCCTTAGGTTGTGGGCATTAATGGCCAATCCTGAGTTGAACCACTGTAGAAATAACTTGATTTTATGTTTCACAGACTATTATTATAAACAAAAAGACAATAGACTACTGTAATTGGAGAAGAATTCCAACTGTACATCAATAATTCTTTCTAAAATTTCTTTTCCCTAGGGTGCCTTGTATTGCCTTCTTGGAAATCATAGTGGAGTATGTCTGGCAAATCTTCATGATTGGGACTGCATTGTCCAAACCTGGCCTGCAATTGTCTCTTCTGGACTTAGCAAAGCAATGTCTCTGGAAAAGCCATCCATAGTTAGACTCTTTGATGACCTTGCAGAGAAAATCCATCGGCAGTATGAAACAATAGGACTGGATTTTACTGTAAGTATGAAATAATTACATCCCTTACAATTGTTTAGGAATGGGGCCTGGTTACTTAGGGACCATTTAGTATCTGTCCAGCCAGTTTGATTTGATGGTTTTGGTATGCTCTGGCATTGATAAATATAAATATGTTGCTTAAATTTGGATGATAGCTGGTGATCTAGCACTAAGTCTATATGTCTTGTACAGGAAGGTGGGGAAGTAGATGCCAGTGCCAGTGAGTTTGGATTAAGGGCAGGGTTTTGCATTAGCTCTTACTTGAGATGATACATTTGGCAATCTGATTATAAACTAGAATGTAAAAATTTCAGTATAATAAAGAATTGGGATACTAGAATTTCCACATACTTGGAAATAATACAAGTCTAAAACAATGTGGCAGTATTAATAGCAGTTACCTTTTATCGAGCAGCTTGATGGCCTAGAGTTGGAGCTCTCCTCTCACAATCAGGAGGCTGTGAGTTCGATCCTAGGTAGTGGCAGATATTTCTCTCTCTTGGAGCAAAGAAAAAAATATCTGCCATGAGCTCCTCGTAGACATCAGGAAAGGCATCTGACCAGTAAATGGTCAGCTCCATTCAGTTGCCCCTACTCCACCCCAGTGCAAGGGATTACAGGGTCGTTAAAAGAAAAAAAAATAGTAGTTGCTTTTCATAAATTATCTGCTCTGGCCTCATCCAGGTTGTACCTTTTCTGAATTACTATGACACCAAAATAATGTATGAAAAAGGCCAAATACAGATGTGACAAAAAGTACTGATACCCCTCCAAAGGTAGTTCTCAACTTATGACTGGTCACTTAGTGACTGTTCAAAGTTGTGATGGACCCCCCTAGAGGTACTTAGAACATGGTTCTGAAGTTCTGACAGTCAACCCCCACCCCCTGTAGTCAGTAATTGCATTTTAGGCACTTTGCAACTGGCCGTTTGCAGCATTTCATTGTCATATGACCACAATTTACAATGTTTTTTTCAGTGTTTATTTCTAGCTTTCGACAAAGCCACCCCATAGCAAAGAATGGGTTTGCTTAACGATCACTGCAAAAAAGGTCATAAAATCAGACTGGTTGCATGGGTGACCTGCATTACGACCATCACAACTTACAAATATAATTGACAGGCTTCATTGTGGTCATAAGTTGTTGACTGCCTATACTTTTCCCCAAAGAATCCCAATTTTCTGTGAAATAAATTGAAACCGACACAAGTAAATGGTATCCACCATTTTGTATCCCATAGTTCATAGAGTAAGCATTTTGCTTTGCTTATTTATATTTGTTTTTATTTTTGTAAATAGAACAATTGGTAACCATTAGCAGTTAAAATATGTTAATTGGATTTTGGTGCTAACTCAAGCAGACATTTTGCTTCAGTTTTATCATAGGTGCCTTTGCTCCCATAAACAATCACTCAGCAAATTGGATGGGGGAAATAGAAGGGTACTGATACTCTTGACTGTGTCTATGTTTTAGAATATTGAAAGGGATGAGATGACATCATTGAAAAGGACAGGACCAATTTTGAAGGGCTTTGTGGAGAAATAATTTATCAATAACAATAAGAGCAGAAAGTAAAAGTGTAAATACACTGCATTGGTATACTATTCTGTGATGCTTTTGAATTTTTGTAACTGTACATTTTGTAACTGAGTGACAAAGAATTGAGGCCTTTGAACTATGGTGCTGGAGAAGACTCCTGCGAGTCCCTTGGACTGCAAGGTGTTCAAACCAGTCAGTCCTAGAAGAGATCAACCTCGACTGCTCTTTAGAAGGCCAGATCCTGAAGTTGAAACTCAAATACTTTGGCCACCTAATGAGAAGGAAGGACTCACTGGAGAAGGGCCTAATGCTGGGAAAGATTGAGGGCAATAGAAGAAGGGGACGACAGAGAATGAGGTGACTGGATGGAGTCACTGAAGCAGTAGGCGTGAACTTAAATGGACTCCAGAAGATGGTAGAGGACAGGAAGACCTGGAGGAACGTTGTCCATAGGGTCGCGATGGGTCGGACATGACTTCGCAATTAACAACAACACATTTTGTAAATGTATCCTTCCCTGGGAATAATCACTTGTTGTATCAGAATCTTTCTTTATGTCTCCCTACTTCTCCAGGTCCCAGAGACATGTACTGAAGTTGCAGTCCTCATGCAGAAGTCACTGGGTCAAAACAGTGAATGTACAAGCCTTAGTTCAGAAGAGATTGAGTTGGGAATTCAGCGACAGAAAGAAAGGAATGCCGAGTCCTCTCAGTAAGTGCAAACTCTCCAACAATTTCATTTTTTATATGTGAAATCAAAGTCATTTGTAACAGTAAGGTTTTTAAAACTTTTTTTGAATCAGAGAAAATCCAATTATTACCTTTTTGCCTAACATGATTGTTAAAATGCAACATGATTATAAACCTCTTCAAACAAATGATGTTCATTTGAAATGCTCCATGTACAGCATTTTTAGAGAAGTTTCTCCTGTCTGCTGATTGCTATAAAGAATTGCATTCTATATGCACTGGCCCACTGATGATATCCTGTCTTTTGTTGAGATATGTTAATGCATAAATGTTCTTTTTTATTTTCAGAAATTATGAAAATTTGATAAATAAACTTCTGGATTGTGTGAATCAAAGAAATCTGTAAGTATGAGAATATCTTTCTCAAAATGTGGTTCATGTGCTTTTTTTTCTGGGCTGTGAGTTGGCAACCATTGAGAAATCAGTAGTCACCATTCAGCTTTGTGACTGCAAGAAGCTTTCCAGGGATGAGATGACATCATTGAAAAGGACAGGGCCAATTTTGAAGGGCTTTATGGAGAAAGAATGTATTAATAACAATAAGAGCAGAAAGCATTTTGGAAACGAACCATGTTTATTTTTAAACCCCCACCCATGCCCGGAAAAATAAGTTATATTATACTGCTTATATTCTGTTGCAAAATGGCTGAATTTCTGCAGTATGGTTTTATGCTAGGCGAGATAGAACAGTGTTAAAGATGGACAAGAAAGTGATTTGACTCCAAACCCCCTCTGTTTCCTATGATCACTTTTGAGAACAAAAGTAAAACAAAAAACATGGTGCTGCAAATATGGTGCCATTTTGTTGCTGAAATTTGGGTGTTTATGGCCCCTCCCAGGCAGTGAGTTGCCCATCCCAGGATCATACCATATTCCACTCCTCACCAAGTTCAGTGAAAATTCAGTGCTAGATTTAAAAGTTATGCCTTCTAGATTTTATTTTGTATAATTTGGAATCCTTTTTCTTCCTTCCAGCCCTTGGAAGTTTGAGCACATTGGCATTGGTTTTCTCTCCCTACTTTTAAGGGATGACAGAGTGCTACCTGTAAGAGCCATAAATTTTTTTGTGGAATGTCTCAATCATGATGTCTTGGTGGTTCGCAAGGTAAAAGGTTAACTGGATTAATTGTAATAAAACTGGTTTGCTGATATTGATTCCATTATTCATTCCTTAGAGTGGATTAATATCTGCTTTCTTTACATATCAAAGTATTTGTTTTTAATCTTATGAATGAATTTCAGTGCTTCCAGAGGACCATTTTCTTTTTGAGTACAGTTTGCTTGATATGTGTAGACTTTCCCAGAAATGTGCAGGCTGGCACAGTTGCCCAATTCACACAGAGAAAGTCTTCAGTGAAATACCACCCATTATGCAAGTACAAGTCATACTATTTGTCTATGGTACATAGCTTGCAATCTTAATAGACACTAGTTTTCCAAACTTGGGCAACGGATTTGTTTATTATCAGCTACTTAACCCTGAAGCTTTCTATATTTGCAGTGAATAGGCTTTGCCGCCAAGTTAAAAACCCTTCCTTAAAAGACCTTTAATCTGTCTATTAATACCTAAGACAACTTTTTAAAAACTTTTAACATATTGAATTCCACAAATTTATGAATATTTTTAGGATTATAAAGATCTAAATGCTTATACATAAACACTGTAGAGATTAGAAAACCTAAATCTTTACGTTGTTCTACCCTAAAAAACCCCTAAATGAAATAAAAAATAATTTACCCCAGTTAATTTTATATGCTGACTACTTCAACATATAACTGAACCTTACATATAAAGTTTTTATATGTAGGAGGAAAGTTATGAGACGAGTGTGCCATCTTAAACAGGATCTGTGTTTCTCCTTTCATTTGTTTTAAATTAAAATGAGCTAATTCTCATTTTTCTGTGTAGATGGCAATATCTGCTGTGGCTGGCATCCTTAAGCAGCTGAAAAGGCCCCATAAAAAGATGCTCATCTGTCCTTTCCAAATCAGTAAGTGCGCTAAAGAAAAACAACTATCTTTCAGTAAGGACAATTTGAGTTAGTGAATGTTAAGGGCAATATGAGCTATTATATCTGTTAATTTGCAGTCTTTGTATCTGCCATCAATTTCTTCTGCCTAATGTTTCAACTATGTTATATCTTTTTTAACTGGACACCATACCTACTGCAAGTTTAGTTGATTTTCATAGGTAATAACATTAAATTTTCCATTGGTGTTAAAATATTGAAGTACTGCACCTTGAAGCATTCTATTGATTGGGGAGAGAAATAGTGGAATCGTTGGTTCTCTCTGAGCTTGATTGCTTGCTTGCAGAGATTTTATGATGTATCTCTATGTGCCTATTGATGGCTGATTTATCTGAATGCCAAGTTTCCAGGAGTTCCATAGCATTTTTGGATTGGTGTTTGTCTACTACTGTGATGCCATTTGGTTGTTGTAATGTTGGTTGTTTCAGAGATGTTTTTGATGTATAATATTGTTACCCTTTTCCAAATTTATCCGATTCCAAATCAGAAATAACCAACAGATTTACATCCACATGGCACCACCATAGCACACAAACCAATCAACTCCTCCTTCAAGAAGAAAAAAAATAGATATAATCTGCAGCATATAATGTGAGGATTATAACAGCCATTATGTAAGACAGGCAGGCAGACAGCAATATGTCCATGAACACCAGCTGGCAGTTAGAAGACATGATGAAAACTACTTGCTTATAACACATAGACAGACTCAACCACAATTTCAACTAGGAAACTGAACATCTTAGACCAGTGATGGCGAACCTTTTAGAGACTGAGTGCCCAAACTGCAACCCAAAACCCACTTATGCATCCTCGAGTGCCGGGTGGGTGTGGCCAATTGGGTGGGCGTGGCCCATTGGGTGGGCATGGCTGTGGTGGTAACGGCAGACTGGGTGGGACTAAAAAGTTCAATCAATCAATTCCAACTTTGCAAGATCTTTTNCCCGCAAGAAGTTAAAATTGACTGATTGAACCTTTTTTTTTTTTTTGCACACGGCGGCGGAGGCCTTAAACAAAAAGGTTTTATAAAACCCAGCTAAAGGCCTAGGACTGGGGCGACGGCACGTGTGCCCATAGAGAGGGCTCTGAGTGCCGCCTCTGGCACCCGTGCCATAGGTTCGCCACCACTGTCTTAGACCAAGTCCAAAAACTCTAGAAAAGTCCTGGACACTTGGCATTCAGACAAATCTGCCATCAATAGACACATAGAGATAAACTACATCTACATACAATTCAGGAGACAATTAAAAAAAGCTAAAAAGGAAACAAAAACACCAGAACACATCCTCTCCAGCAGCCAACGTGATAAGTAGGGGTTAACACTAGACAAACAAGCAGAAAACAGAACACTAATAAGGAACTACCAAGGAGAAAATCACATCCTCACTAACATTGGCAGGGTACTCTACTGTATACAAACAGGAAGCAAACCCCACACTTACTTGTAATGATGTTATATACTTGGGCAATGAAACATTTACAAACAAGCAGCCAAGCTCCGAGAGCACCAAGGATTCCACAATTCCGTTCTGAGCTACAGATATTTCTTCTATTGGAGATATTAAATAGTCAGTCTTATGATTTGTTTTACTTAAATTTGCAGGCTGTGAGTTTGATTGTAAGTTTGATTGTAAGTTATTTTAGTCTCCTATTCCTCAAGTCTTACTAAAGTCCTCTGCATTTATGTGTGAATCTTCAATTCAGATGTTTGTAAAAAATTGTTAAAGGGTTAATCCACTGCTTGTCAGCTAACTGACTTTCAGGATCCTGCAATCTGTTTTCTAAACTGATAACCTATTTTCATAATTTTAGTTCTAGAAAAAAATGCTGATGAAATAAGAACTTTTTATAGGATTGAAATAATTTTGTATTGTTATCCTTGAGTACCAAAATGGCTACTTCAATTTTTCCTACCGATTACCTGCCAAATCCGAGCTTCCCCATCATTCTAGGCGTTTATCTTACACCAAGGAGAGATGAACAAACTAGCTTACAGCAACTAATTTGTAGAAAAATGACTATTTTAATGGATGTTTTATTGTGGTACTTGTTTTAGTTTTAAGAATATTGGTTAACATATTTTGGTTCCTAGTGTGGCTGTACTAGTTATGCTGCTATTTGAAACAGATGCTTCATGGTTTCTGTTTTGTAAAAATATAATTATTCAGAATTGTGTGATTTAGTGACAGCTGGCAGTAATTGTGGGCATCAATATGTACTGAATGAAAGTAGAAATATCAAGCATCTAATGATAAGTTTAATAAGAAAAGCATTTTTCTCTTTTACAAACAGGTGGATCCCCACAGCCTTCTACTATCCAGGCAGGTGACAGATCTGATAACCAATGGCTGCATTATGAGAGTGCTAGTTTACCAAAGACTAAAGAAACTTGGGAAGCCTGCAATTTTGTGGAAAAAACACATTGGGGATACTACACTTGGCCTCAGTAAGTATTGGCTTCTGTCCTTCTGCCCTCTTCTATAATATGAAAGTCAGTAGAGTCACTTCATAGCTTCCATTCAAATTGCCTTACTGATACAAACCTTGTCCTGCTTATACTTGATTTGCTAGAGCAGTCATTCATTTCTTCCATATATTAAACCCTTTAGGCTTTCTGTATTTGATAATATAAAGATTAAAAGATGTGAATCTGAATTTGTACTTGCTAAATTGTGACTCTGAAACAGTGAACCAGGAAGTGGTGTAAGTACTTTCTATTTTGCCATTCAATATTGTTTTAAGTTGTCTCACTTTTTTCCCTCACAATTTCTAGAAATATGGAAATCTATGCTTCTGCAGAAGAGCAACCAAAACTTGGGAGGAGTAGAAAGGAACTTTCAGAGGTGATGTTATATTTTAAAAATGTGCTCACAATTTCTCTTGGTCTGATATTTCACTTTCAGCATATACCATTTTTCCTTTCATTTTATAACAGACTTAACTTGAGAGGGAATTAAATTATTCAAAGTTATCTCAATTCCAGAGTATTGAAATTCAAATGCACATAATATGTTAATAGAATCAATTATGTGCTTGGATCACACAGCCCTAGTGTTTATATCAAAATACAGTATGAAGAAATTCTTATGGGAGTCAGCATAGATGTAGCTTCTGACTACAGGAAATATATAGTGATATTTTCTGTTTGCCTGGAATCTGTTCGCACATTTAACAGGTAGTTAAAAAGTAACCATGTTTGGAGAAATCATGTGGTTTTGCATACATGTGTCAGGAGTCTACATTAGGAAAAAGGAAATTACTTGTGATTGTTTTAAGTGAGAGTTAAATATAGTAAGCACTGGTATAATACTAAACCATTTGTCTATTTACCACAGCAATGATTTCTTTGAAACAGGTGATTTCCAATTACCCGAATTCCTAAGCTGGATATTTTTCTTGCTACCTTTTATATATGGAAGCTTTTGATTGGATTCTTTCCAGAAGGGTTTTTTTTGGGGGGGGGGGTATTCAATTTATTATAATGTCACACTGATTTCTGCAGCATATTAATAAGTCCCTTCTCAGGTCAGAAAATCTTTGACTTGGGAGTAGGAAGATGAGATATGAAAATATTCAACTTTAGCTTTTTATAGAAAATGAGATCATTTTCACAATTGCAAAACTGTGTCTGACTTATTTGGGCCATGTCATGCAGGGGACACTGGAGAAAGTAATTATATTTGGAAGTGTTAGTGATAAAAGGAAACCAGCCCCCCAAAGAACACAGTGACTGGACATCATTAAAGCTGATACCAGCCAGAGCATAGAAAAACAAAGAAGTAGTCATTTAAATATGAGCCAGCAGTAGTCACTTAAATATGCAGCTGCCAAAAAAGCCAACATAGTGCTAGGTTGCATTAACAGAGGGATAGAATCAAGATCACGTGAAGTGTTATTACCACTTTACAATGCCTTGATAAGGCCACACTTGGAATACTGCATCCAGTTTTGGTCACCACGATGTAAAAAAGATGTTGAGACTCTAAAAAGAGTACAGAGAAGAGCAACAAAGATGATTAGGGGACTGGAGGCTAAAACATATAAGGAACGGTTGCTGGAATTGGGTATGTCTAGTTTAGCAAAGAGAAGGATGAGGGGTGACATGATAGTGGTATTCCAATATCTCAGGGGTTGCCACAAAGAAGAGGGAGTCAAGCTATTCTCCAAAGCACCTGAAGGCAAGACAAGAAGCAATGGATGAAAACTAACAGAAGAAAGAAACAACCTAGAATTAAGGAGAAACTTCCTGACAGTTAGAACAATTAATCAGTGGAGACTGTGAATGCTCCAACACTGGAAGTTTTTAAGAAGAGAGTGAACAGCCATTTGTCTGAAATGGCATAGGGTTTCGTGCCTGAGCAGGGGGTTGGACTAGATGACCTCCAAGGTCCCTACCAACTTTATTACTATTACTAGTCCAATATCAGAAGATGTGGAGAGACCTGGCCCATAGAATCCACAGGAGTCTGAATGTATAACATCATCATCATGATAGAAAATGGTAGCATAAAGAGTTCTAAGGCTGACCATTAGAGAATAACTTGTTTTTGCAAGAATATGTCAGTTACACATTTTTCAGGCCGTCTGATCTAAAGATCTAATTATCTAAGTATCTAATTGTGGGGACCATATATATTTTTCCCAACATAGATGTGGTAAGCAGTTTTTAGTTCTATTTATATCATTGTTTATTTTATTTTACAGGCGGAGCAAGTAATTTATGATCACTTTTCTGATCCTAATTTTGTTGAGCAGTTAATCAAGTTTCTTTCTTTAGAAGACAGAAAAGGAAAAGATAAATTTAATCCTCGTAGGTTTTGCCTCTTTAAGGTAAATGATTATCTAGTACTTTCCTTCTTTTCTAGGAAATATGTTGAGCTATGTGTAAAGCTGTTTAACAAAAAATCCATGCAGTTAAACCTTTGTGATTGTTCTATCATATATATTGCTCTGATTTCATCAATCATAATTTATTAAAAAGTTCTGCCTCAAGTGCCCTTCTTTACACACTGCAGTCATTCATAAGGGCAAACTACTGCTGTGGTGCTGCAACATTTGTAATTTTGGGGTTTTCTTGTAAGCACTAGGGGGCGCTTAAAAGCGTTAAGTAAACAAACCCTTGTAACTTGGGGATTACTTGTATAACATGCAGGCACACTCATTTGTTCATTTTACACCACACGCCATTTAGCTTGTGTTAAGGCAGTGAAGTTTTCTGATATAGTTTCATTGCTTTATAGTTTTCCTCACAGCATAATAATCAAATTTTCAAACTTATGTGGAATTGTGGAAATGTGGTTTCCAGGATTATAATTTAGGTACAATAGCGAAATGTGCTACTACTTTCTAAAGCTCTTCAGTGCTTTTCTCTTAATAATGGCTTGTATATCATTTAATTCTGAAAATGGTAGCCCAATTACTGTTTATGATAAATTGCAATAAAAAGGCATTAAATATATGCAGAACATTTGGGGCTTGGAAAAATTCCTTCCCCTCTAGATATTACTGATATTTAACATTTTTAAATATATTTATCATTTTAGAACAATTAAATTAGGTTTAGCCCTTTTTGTAAATGCAATAAGAAGTATTAAGGCTTAAAGTCAAATGTGTGTGTTTTCCCTAGGGTCTGTTTAGAAACTTTGATGATACCTTCTTACCTGTATTGAAACCACACTTAGAACGCCTTGCTGAAGATTCCCATGAAAGTCCTCAACGCTGTGTGGCTGAAATTATAGCTGGTTTGATAAGAGGGTCTAAACACTGGACATTTGAAAAGGTAGAGCACATTTCTATGAATTTTGCAAATATATTTGATTCAGATCTCCTTATATACACCAAAATTATTCTGAATTACACACACACACACACACACACACACACACACACACACACACACACACATACATACATACATATTATATAAATACATGAATGTTTCATATATGTTGTGTGTGTGGTCCTTGATGGATTAAAAAAAGATTACTTATTACCCATTCTTGAAGTTAAGACTGCTGCACCAACCCAGGGTCACATGATCTCTCTCTCTCTCTCTCTCTCTCTCTCTCTCTCACACACACACACACACACACACACACACACACATCTGTGTGTTTGAGAGAGAATGATCATGTGTTCAATCATAATTTCAAAGATGGGTCATGAGTAACTTTTTTTTCAAATCTATTGTAACTTCAAGCAGTCATTAAGCAACCATATATTTAATTTGGATGTTTATTGTTTTTATTAAAATATTTTTGATATTTTAATTGCAATAGTTTTTTTGAATTGTAGGCTGCCCAGAGTCATTGATTGAGATGGGCGGCTATAGAAATTAGACAAACAAACCAATCATAAGTTACTCTCTTTCTCAGTCCCAGGAAGCAGGCAATGGCAATGGCAATGGCACTTCCAGGAGTGAAAATTGATTGAAGGCACACACACATATGAATAATTAGTTTGAAATTAGGGATGGTTAAACATGGAACAGATATTCCTATCTTGCTTTCTGAACAACAGCATTAACACAGTCTATGCTTTCAGTATGTGGTGTGCTTTTGCTTCCTCTAAAACTAAGCTACATGAATTCTGACAGAAATAGATTTTGCCTATATGTGTTTCACTGTAATAAAAACAGAATTGTTTGGAATTACAGATGCCATGTATTAGTAATACATTGTTTTTTACATCATTATGTACAGGTGGAGAATCTCTGGAAAGTTCTCTGTCCACTTCTCAGAACAGCTTTATCCAATATTACAGTAGAAACTTACAATGACTGGGGAACATGTATAGCAACATCATGTGTAAGCCTTGTACATTATTTTTCACTCTGCCTTATTATGAAAGCATTCTGAATTCTTCTAACATTCGTCTCTGAACATGGGGAAAATAGCCTATACTGAAAGGAGATTATAGCTTTTGACTATACTAATTTTAGTTTTTATTCTAGAAAGACAAATGGAAATTCTTTTATGATGACTTGTTACATTGTTATATACATGTATGTTTAGATTTCTATTACTGTAGAGCAGACATGTCAAACTCACGACGTCACGTGACATCACGCGACGTATCGGGACTGTTTGCCATTGCAGGCAATGGGGTGGGCGTGGCTTTCGCATGACGCATCCGGCCCACGGGCTGGCAGTTTGACATCCCTGCTGTAGAGGTTTTATAATCTCTATACAATTCTGAAGTGTTTTTTCTTGGACTTGGTGAATTTATTCAAAAAGCATAGTTATCTTAGAAAATGCACTGTGTAATGCAGTATCAATGTTTGATGTTGAATTGTCTCTCAGCAAGTTACATTAAGATTTATGTTGTCAGGAAATGATTTTGCCCCCTTTTCCTTTAAATATATATTTATATAAACAGGAGAGCAGAGATCCCAGGAAATTGTACTGGTTGTTTGAATTGTTACTGGAGTCTCCACTGAATGGTGAAGGAGGATCATTTGTTGATGCATGGTAAGGAAATAAAATTCTCATTAGCCAAAGCATAGATGAAAGTAGAACATTTATTTGTGCTTGCTTTGCTTTTAACCATATGACAATCATCAGAATAGCAGTTGGATAGCCACATTTCATTTTAATGTATGTCAATTAGTGTACATTCAAAGTGACAATAAGTTATTATTCTATTCTGTTCTGTTTTGTTCTATTATTTGTCTGAAATAGTACAGGGTTTCCAACATTGGGCACTATCTATCAAAATAAAATTTAATGGTGCAAAAAGTAAGCTTCCACATTTAGGTAAGAAAAAACAAATGCACAGGTATAGTATAGGTCAGGGCTTTTCAACCAGTGGTACGGGTACCACCTGTGGTACATTGGCACCTGGCAGGTGGTACGCGACCATCCTAGAAAAGTGGTAGCGGGGGAGGGGAATGAGCTAAACCGGTGGCAGCACCGCACAAGCCAGATCGAGAGATGGCTGGAGCTGCAGGGCTGTCAGGGCTCAGCGGAAGTGCCAGGATCAGCACGTCTTTGGGGCTGTCAGGGCTCAGTGGAAGCGCCAGGATCAGCACCAGGCTCCAGCTGGAGCTCGGCGCTGATCCTGGTGCTTCTGCTGAGCCCTGAAGAAGCGCCGATCAGCTGGAACGCAACACTGATCCTGGCGCTTCTGAGCCCAGAAGAAGCGCCGATCCGCTGGAATGTTGCAGCATCTCCAGGGTCTTGTGATTTACATTCAGATGCTTGGCAACTGATTCATATTTATGATGGTCACAGTGTCCCAGGGTCATGTGAAGTGACCAAAACCTGCTGCAACCACCCAGCAGACGGGGGGAATAAAAACCAAACACCCCCCACCCCACCCCCGCTGCCAATCCTCAACAGAAATGCTCACAACAATGAAAACATCAGAGAGGAGGAAGAGCGCGGCCGGGTGGGTAGGCAGGTGTCTTGCTCGTTGTGGTTTGGGGGGCATTTTTTTCAGTGCCACTGTAACTTCGAACAGTCACTAAGCGAACTGTTGTAAGTTGAGGACTACCTGTACTTTATCACTTTTATCCTTTTTGGGGGGGTCATCAAGTTTTTGACACTTTGCTAGGCGACTGGTGGTACTCGGATGTTGCCATATCCTAAAACTGGTACAATGGGTGAAAAGGTTGAAAAGCCCTGATATAGATGGTACCTGGGTCAATAATAGTATCTGTAAGAGGGATCTTAACAACAACAATAATGATAATGATAATTATAATAAAGTTGGAAAGGACCTTGGAGGTCATCTAGTCCAACCCCCTGCTCAGGCACGAAACCCTATACCATTTCAGGCAAGTGGCTGTCCAGTCTCTTCTTAAAAACTTCCAGTGTTGGAGCATTCACAGCTTCTGGAGGCAGGTTGTTCCACTGATTAATTGTTCTAACTGTCAGAAAATTTATCCTTAGTCCTCGGTTGCTTCTCTCCTTGATTAGTTTCCATCCATTGCTTCTTGTCCTACCTTCAGGTGCTTTGGAGAATAGCTTGATTTCCTCTTCTTTGTGGCAGCCCCTGAGATATTGGAACACTGCTATCATGTCTTGGAGTCCTAGAGAACAATCATTTAAATATGAGACAGCAGTGTGCTGCAGCTGCCAAAAAAGCTAATGCAGTCCTAGGCTGCATTAACAGAGGGATAGAATCAAGATCATATGAAGTATTAATATAACTTTATAATGCCTTGGTAAGACCACTATATCCCGCTTTTGTCGCCACAATGTAAAAAAGATGTTGAGACTCTAGAAAGAGAGCAGAGTAGAGCAACAAAGATAATTAGGGAACTTGAGTCTAAAACATAAAGAACAATTGCTGGAATTGGGTATGTCTAGTTTAATGAAAAGAAGAACTAGGCGTGACATGGTAGCCGTATTCCAATATCTAAGGGGCTGTCACAAAGAAGAGGGAGTCAACCTATTTTTCAATGTACTTGAAGGCAGGACAAGAAGCAGTGCATGGAAACTAATCAAAGAGAGAAGTAATCTAGAACCAAGAAGAAATTTCCTGATAGGTAGAACAGTTACTCAGTGGAACAACTTGCTTCCAGAAATTGTGAATGCTCCAACACTGGAAGTTTCTAAGAAGTGACTGGACAAGCATTTGTCTGATGTAGTATAAGATTTTCTGCCTGAGCAGGGAGTTGGACTAGAAAACCTCCAAGGTCCTTTCCAACTCTGTTATTCTGTTATAAGTGATTATAGCATGCTATTTAGCTGGCTATGGAAAATATGCTTAAATCTAATTAATTTGCTTAGCAACATTTCAAGCAAAGGTTGTTGAGCCCCCATGTCCTGATATTTTTATATTTGTACCTCTTGGTCACCGTCTGAATATAGATGCTAAAAATCAGCGAGATCTCTCAGAAAACCAGGATAGATAGTTAAGCATTTACAGTTACTGTTATATCAGGAGGTAGAGATTTCTTCTCTTAAGTGTACAGTACAGTGACAGAGTTCTATGTATTTACATTTATATGTGCATGCAAAAATTATAATGCTACGTACATAATAAATACTAATACGGATTAGAACCCAAAATTGAATAGTTCATTTGCTTGATATAAGTTCTGATATGACCAACTTTTTAAAAGCACATGGCGTAGTGGCTAATTAGCCCACTCTCCATTAGCTAAACATAGAATGACTGTCTTTTATGAACAGGAGCAGAAGATGGAAGTACACTTTTGTAAGTCATCACTTCACTAACTTTTTCTTCTTTTTACCTTCTAGTCGCCTGTATGTTTTGCAAGGGGGCCTTGCACAACAAGAGTGGCGAGTGCCAGAACTGCTGCACAGATTGCTGAAATACCTAGAGCCTAAGCTCACCCAAGTTTATAAAAATGTCAGAGAGAGGATAGGAAGGTTAGTATTAAGGCTATACTACGTCATGTTTTTCAACCTTTAGATATTCCAGAAAATTGTCATGTTGTTTATAGGTACTCCAGAAATAAGGAAAAGTTATTTGGTGAGTTTGAATTCAGTCTTTAAGGCATGGAACTAAATTAAAAATTGTGTTCTTGTGTTTTATGCAGTGTTTTGACATACATCTTCATGATAGATATTTCTTTGCCAAATACTGCACTAACAAAGTCTCCCCGTGTCCATGACTTCACTTCTCGAATACTTGAAAAACTCAAACCCCTTATGGAAGCGGATGAAGAAATTCAGAATCACGTTATGGAAGAAAATGGAGTTGGAGATGAAGATGAACGAACTCAGGGCATTAAACTACTGAAAACTAGTAGGTGCTTGTGTTAAATGTGTGAGAATCTAATTAAATATTCACTTGTAGTGAATGCCATTTAAAGGGAATAATGTTTAGAAGAGATGAAGTTGTGTTTTGTTCTTTGTCTTTGAATTGAGAAGTATGCTTGTCTTTCTTTTACTTGACAGTTCTAAAGTGGTTGATGGCAAGTGCAGGGAGAGCTTTTTCTACAGCTGTTACAGAACAGCTTCAGCTTTTGCCATTGTTTTTCAAGGTATGTAGTTTGATATACAGCTTGATTTGTTTAGATGACAGTAACATTTAACATTTTAACAATGTGTGAATGAGGCTTCATTTAAATAAATAGGATGTACAGAAAGTCAGGCCACATAGACAGCCCATTTATACAAATTACATTCAATGTTTGGATTGGTTGCTATTTCTTCTAAATGTTTCCTTATTCATTTGATGCATAACCTTTGAAAACACTGCAGGGAAATCTTTTAAAGATTGCCACTTTAGGATGCAGACTTCCAGCTCTTATCTTGTTTTAGTTTCAGGGCTATGCAAAAAGGTTGCTTGCTATGGAAATTTCAAAACACCCCAGACATAAAAAAACATACTATTTGAGAATGCATGTCTGAAATAAGATGTTTTGCTCATACTTATTATTATTATCCTTGCTTTTTAAATTTCTTCTCATCTAATTATGAGTTTCCAGACTTTGATTGGATATTTTCATATTGACAGATACTTGTGTTAATTATCTATTTAGAGTCACTACAGTTAAAAACTTTTTAGCTGTATTTTAATGACACAAGAGTTTGAACTGCTTTCTGCATATTGCATGCACTTTATATTTTAATCCATTCCAGTACAGGTAGTCCTCGACAATAGTTCATTTAGTGACCGTTTGAAATTACAACGACACTGAAAAAGTGACTTATGACTGTTTTTAAAACAACCATTGCAGCAGCCCCATGGTCACGTGATTAAAATTCAGATGCTTGGCAACTGACTCATATTTATGACGGTTACAGTGTTCTGGGGTCATGTGATCACCTTTTACAACCTTCTGACTAGCAAAGTCAATGGAAAAGCCAGATTCAATTAACAACCATGTTATTAACCTAACAATTGCAATGAGTCACTTAATAACTGTGTCAAGAAAGGTCATAAAATGGGGCAAAACTCACTTAACTATCTTGCTTAGCAACAGAAATTTTGGGCTGAATTGTGGTTGTAAGGTGAGGACTTCCTGTATAGCATTTAGGAGTTTTAGCTTCTGTATTAATTATATTAATTTTCTAAGAGAGGTTGAATTGCAGTTTCCCGATGTGCCTTGCATTTATTCAGTTTTAAGGATCAAGACTTCACTAGTTGCTACTAACTTTTCATCTACTTGTTTCCACAGATTGCGCCTGTAGAAAATGATCATAGCTATGATGAATTGAAGAGAGATGCTAAAATGTGCTTATCATTAATGTCTCAGGGATTACTGTATCCTCAACAAGTGCCTTTGGTACTTCAGGTGCTAAAACAAGTATGTGATGCTTTTAAACTGATACTTTTAAACAGCATAATTACATGTATTTAATCTTGTGTTAGTACTTTTTTGATATCAATGCTGAAAAACTGATAGCAAATATATTTGATCTGAATACACAAGAGAGACTGCAAAAATTTAAGTTTCTATCATAATACCTTAGCCGTTTTTAGCAAATTATTTATTTATTTTAGAAAAGTATGAGGCCTGTTAAACCCTGTTAAATGTCTAGGATATTCCTTACAGCAGCCCTGTAGATGATCCTGAGACATCCTTCCGCAGCAGGAAATAGGTCACTTTAAACAAACCCATAGACAACTATTTATCACAGGTGTGATAAGAATGGAAAAGTAACCATGCTTTGACATTCAGATTGCCATGATGTAGTCCCCAAAATGAGTTCTTGTGTTCAGTTGGATTTGCTCTTCGATATTCTCCAACAGCACTCTAGGCATGACAGTGCTGGAAAAGGAGATTTAAGACCCCACAGTCATGTGAGCACAACTGTCATGGATTTATTCATCGCAACTGTCATGGATTTATGATGGTCATGGTGTTCCACGGTCATGTGATTGCCATTTGTGACCTTCACAGCCAGTTTCTGAAAAGCAATCAGTGGGAAAGCTGACAGAAAGTCATAGGTCACAGTCACGTGATGTTATACTTAATGACCATGGGTGATTTACTTAAAGACTGCAGCCAGAATTGACATTATAAGACATTGTGGTAATGTGACATATCACTTTATGACTGCATCGCAATTGGAACTGCGTTGCCAGATCCAATTGCACCTTTTAGGTGTGGACTACTTGTATAAGCAATCTTTCTTAATAGATTAGCCAAAGGAGGGGTGAAATGTGTTGAAAGACATGAAAGTAAATTATAATTTATATGTCTTGAGGGATGTACTTTTTACATGGTAGCAGGTTAAGGACTGATGTAGAACAGAGGTGTGCAACTTTTTTGTGTTGAAGTTACACTTAGCCTTTGAGTGGGGAGGGAAAACAAGTAGAGAAGATAGATATTAAAAGTAATCTCAAATGAAAAATTAGTTGGAATTTCAAGCATATTAATTACAACATATTTAAAAATCATCAACTATTATAGATGAATTCTGAAATATGATTTTGGAAAGTTTTCTGCATACATAGTCAACAGTTTGATTTAGGCTTTATTGTAGTTTATTTTTCTAATTTCTGTGGTTCTATTATTTTGGCCTCTTCTTTTTTCTTTTTATAGATTGCAAAGAGTAATTCCTGGCATTCTAGATATACTGTGCTAATCTACCTCCAGACTATGGTATTTTATAATCTTTTTATCTTCTTAAACAATGAAGAAGCTGTGAACAACATCAGATGGCTGGTTATAAAACTATTAGAAGATGAACAGCTTGAGGTGAACACATTCTTGTGCTCCTACTTTTTTTTTTTTTTTTACAATTTGTGAAAAATCTATTTGTGGAATAAATGTGGAACTTGGACATGATATGTGTGCTTGATGAACAAATTAAACACAGTCTATGGCAATTTGCTATAGCATTCCAATATTTTGTTTTTATTGCTCTTCCTAAATAATAGTTCATCACAATTTTAACTAGGAATCTCTCCATTGCTCATTAAAAGTTTTCCAGTACTGACTATACATTTATTCCTTAATGATCCATTTGATTTTAGATTTAAAATTTTTTTTTTGCTAGTACTAAGACTTAGATGAAATGTACGTTTAACTCTAACCTAGTGGGAATTGGAAACAGTGGGCTGAAGATGCTTAACACTGAGTATATAATACTCTTGTTCTGATATGCTTTGCATTAGTATCAGATATATTTCTTAATTATTATATAGTTAGATGAAATCCCTTCCTGACCACATTCCATCTGCTGATACCAGATAATAAAATGAAATAGGTATTAGAGATGTAACAGTTTTCTCAATGCAGTCTCTTTAGAAGGGGCTCAGTCAAGATTCCGAAGGATGCTACTTCTTTGTACCCAGATATGTAGAAGATTCCTTTTGAAGCTGAGAAGCAAAACTGATCTCATTAGAGGTCTGAATCTGATTTTGCCATCCCGAAATATTGTTTATACTTCAAGTCAGCCTTCAGCTGCTTTGAGCTTACAAGATAAATTTTATTCCTTCATAGCTAATTGAAGAAAGGTCTAATCAAAGACTGTGGATTTTGCACTTAATATTTAGCTTCAACTAGCAATGAGAAAGCTCTGTTGGAAATAAAATAGAACTGTTAGTGCCACACTAATACAAGATCTTCTGTGCACTTGTCAATGATAAGAAATTGACTTAACAATTCAGGGCCTTTTGTGTCGTGCCTGATATTCAAACTGATATAAAAGTTTTATTTTTCCATATCTTTGTATCCTGTTTTACAATTATGTTTAATTTCGTCACTAATTGTAATAATAACACTACTGCCACTGACAATATATATCTATCAATATAGGGCCATGTTGTGCTTTATGGATGTGAGGTGTTTCAAAAAAAAAACAAATTTGAAACATTTGGTTCCTATTCCAGTGCTAAATAATTGGCAGGCTCTTGAAGCTATCACTTAAAACACTCATAAACTCATGTAGAACAATTTACTCTATTTTATATTTAGAGGTGGTCTTCACTTAACAACCATTCATTCAGCAACAGTTCAAAGTTATGGCAGTGCTGAATGAATGGTAATTATGCTCTGTTCTTGAAGTTAAAGCCATTTCAGTGCCCCAATCATGTGTTCAAAATTCAACTGCTTGGCAGCCCACCTGTGCTTACAACTACAGGAGCACTTCAATGCCCCCATCAATCACTCACCCATATCATTCCCCTTTTGAGTGCGATGCAGTCCTCTGCCAACCCTGCTGCCTCTGCCACTGACCCCCATCTGACCTTCACCATTTTCTCCCTCCTCCTCCTGCTGGTCTAGGATTCATGTTATGATTGATGGTACAGCCCCAGGATGTGCCTGGCAAGCTCAACAGAATGAAGCTCATCTAATGAAGGAAACTTGCTGGGCTCAGCAGGCAAGGAGGCAGCAGGATGGAACAGGTGGTGGTGGTGGCAGGGTGGCATTTCAGGGGAAAGTGCCCTGTCTTCTGCCACCCAGCATGAGGAGTGATAGCCTGCAGACCATGGAGGGCTTAGCAGACCAGTGAGATGCAGCAATGGCTCCCTGAGTGAAGTTTGGGACTTGTAAGAGACACTGTGTGGGGTCATGGTAGAACTGGAGGAAACAGAGGGATGAGGACTTCCTAACAAAGCAGCACGCTCTCTACAGCTTGTGTTGGAACTGCTCCTGGAGAAGTGATCCTTCTTGAGGCTTTGTAGGAGCAAGGTTAGGCCAAGTAAGCAGAGAATCTGTTGTTGGCACTAGGCTTGTATCCACCCATTATTGAAGCCTGCAGGCTGGTTCTCTAGGAGTGTGTCCAATGTGAGGTGCAAAGCTATGGTTAAAATGGCCTGTGGGCTGTTCTCCTTGCCCTAGTGGTGGAAAACAAGGCTCCTCCTCTGACTCCCTTCTGCTGCCTCCTCCCTGGTTAGGCCCAGCAACCCCCTTTTCATCAGACAAGGCTTCACCATGCTGCCGTGTTGCCATATGCCTCCCAAGACTGCACCCTTACCCAGTACATGGATCCTGGGCTAGCAGGAGGAGGAAGAAGACTATTAAGATCAGCTGTGGGCAGTAGTGACAGGGCAGCCAAATTGGCAGAGATGGAGGGGAGATAGGGAAGTTGAAGGACTTGAAGCAATGGTGAGCAGGACAAGACACAAAAAGCGTGAGATCTTTGCCTAATGATAGCATGATCCTGGCCTAATGACTGCAACTGGGACTACTGGAATCGCTATTGCTAAGAGTGTAGGCATATAATGTTTCACCTAACAATGTTTTAACCTTCACTTAGTGCTGAAAACTCTCATCCAAATTAGGGTTATTAAGCAAGGACTGCCTCCATTCATTCCATTACTGTGCAGTTGACAACCACTAGTACAAATTTAACAGCCAAATCTGCTCATTAGGGGCATGGTAAATTCTTGAAATAAATGTAAAATTGTCAAAATACTTGCTTTTGTGTAACATCTTAATAATCACATTGCCATAGAAACCTCTGTGTTGCAGAAGTTGTAATTTGTTTTTCTTTACTTTTAGACAGGATCTAATATGAATGATGATTCACTACCCTTGTATTGTGTGTCTGTTATTGTATATAAATTAGAGGTTTTTGTCTCAATTGTAGGGTGTAAATCCTTCCTAGGCTGATCTTGCCACTTACCTATCCATTTATTTGGGGTTTTTTATATTTTGAAGTTAAATCTATTCATTCATTTAGAATAGTTTTTAGAAGCCATCTTCTCAATCACCTTCTCAGATCTTTGGATTTTGGATGACTGAGCAATGATGTAAATGCAGACACTTATATATGAGGGCAAGAAAGTCTCTCAGAGAGATGTGTAGATATTTAAATTTCATAAACATTAAACATGTTGTCTTCTAATCTCAATAATTTTCCTTAGTGTCACTGTAAAGATGTATTAAAAAAAACAAGTTACCTTAAGGAAAGCTAAATAACACTCTCTAAATTAAAGCTGCTGCTCTCTTGCTATGTTATCTGGACCTTAGAACCATTACATATTTGTAAATGCAGTGATAAAACATGTTCTAAATTTTTTGTTATTAAAAAAATATAACGTTATAAGAGCTAGTACTTTATAGATCCTGGTTGGATTTATATGTGGTTAGTAGAATTGCTTCAAGATGGCAACTTACCTCTGTATCCTGATCCTTTGTGTAAGCATTAATTCAGGTAGTCTCAATGTACAACTACAATTGGGACCGAGAATGCCGTCATAGGTTGATGCAGTTCTAAAGCAAGGCCATGAGACTTAAGATGACAAACTAATACTCCCTGTTGTAATTGTTAAGTAAGAATCACAAGTCACTAAGCAAATACCTACCCTATCCAAATCTAATACATTCCGGACTTAGTCTCTCCCAGCCTTGGCTTCAGGAAGGTAAAGGACTGCCTCCCAACTCCCCCATCTGCCTATCTCTACCCTTTAGTTGTTTTGCATCCTGGCTTGCGAGTTGCCAAACAGTCCCAGAACCATGTGGCTCTGGGGTTCCTTACAATGCCCCAGAAAGTTCTAGTCATCCTAGCCTAGTCCTAGCCGCGGTCACCTTTATCACCCTGCACTCTGAGATCCCTGCCGCCTTGTGCTCCCGGTTCACCTTTGCTGTTTTTTACTTCCTCTGCTAATAAGGTGTCCCCAGGCTGGGGTTTGGCTGTGGAAAAAGAAAGATAAAAGTAGTCCCTGAATGGCGGTGTGCCTAAATGCCTCTTTTCAAAAAGCTTCTGGAATGCAGGACCCTGAAATGCTCCTTTGGGCATGATTATCCTGTCCACACACTATTCAATCAGTCTCTGTTGAGCCAGCCTATCACTGCCCTGATTCTTCACCCTCAGCTGTCAGAAAAGGAACAAATAGCCCTAACAATTTTTCAAACTAAAGCAAATTTTATTTTGTGCATCTTCCATCCTACCTATATTGGTCTGGAAAGATTACTTCAGAGCATCTTACCCTTCAATCAGCTGAGCTAACCTTGGCTTCTATTCATTTTGCTCACTCCTGATGCCAAGGACTTATGCTTTCCCATGGTTTGCACTTCTCCAGCCTGCCACTTTATCCACTATGAGGTTGCATCCAGAAGTCCAGAAAACAGAGTACAACAACAGGCAAGAGAAGCACGTTGGAGATTAACTCTAGGTAGATTTTGGCAGGACAAGTCTCCCATTTGCTTGCAAGGGCAGTTTTATTTTCACTATCCTCCTCTTCCCATTTTTTTCCCTCTCAATCTGGGGCTGGTCTTTACAAGTATGGAAAAGGGGGTGTTTTGGCACAGTGCACTCCAGGAGCTTTTTGCAGACAGATGTTTCAGTGTGCTGCTGCTCAGGGATTACTTTTGACTTTTTCTCCCCCCACAGCATACCTTATCAGCAGTGAAAGCAAGAAAATGGTGAAGGTGAGCTGGGGTGGCAGAATGCAGGCTGGTAGAGGTCTAGGAACGCAGGGTGGCAAGAGCAACTGCAGTTGGGACTAAGCTGGAATGCTGTGGTTTCCCAGGGCATTGCAAGCAGTCCCAGGGTTGTGTGGTACTGGGCTGCTTGCCTCCCCACAAATGCAGGGCAGAGAGGGTGGAGAGATAGGTGGTTAGGGGAATTGGAGCACATGTATGATTATAAGTGACGGTTGGCTGCCAAGTGTCCACGTTTTGTTCACATAACCATGGGGGCTCTGCAACAGTCCTAAATTCAGGTATAGGTTGTAAGTCCATTTTCTTCCAGCACCGTTGTAAATTTGAAAGGTCACTGAATGTATAGTCAGAAGTTGAATATGTGTTTGGGAAAATATACATTCTTATTTATTAAATAATTTATGTATATAATTTATATGGCTACCCATTTCACTGAAGTGACTCTGAGTGGTGGACAGAGATTAAAAACCTAGCATTTAAAAACAAAAACCTAGCATTCATAATGTTGGTGCTCTCTGAGCTCAGTTGTTTTCTTGTAGACATTTTATTGCTCAAAGTAGGTAATAAAATGTCTACAAGAAAACAACCAAGCTCAGAGAGCACCAACAACCTTCATTTCAATCCTGAGCTACAAGTAGGCTAGTCATCTTCCCTGAAAAGGGAAAAATTTAGAGAAAATATAATACTAACAGGGAAGGAACTCAAGCAGTTGACCTTCCTTTGAGGTAGAAGATATAAGGAGATTTGCAAAAACTTAACAGAATCTAATCTACATTATCTGTTTTCCCAAAGGACTTTTATGTGCCTTCTTCAGCATTTCTGTATCCTAGTGTCAGTGAACTCTAGGAATTTTAAGTGTACTTTAATTTATCAAGATATTGTAACTTATCTCATTACTTGAGAATATATTAAAGGTTTAGAAACACAGGCAGTTGGTCAATGTTTGGGTACATAATAAAACCAAGCCATTTGGACAATGTCCTAATAACTGAGAATCAGAAATTTGGAGTCCAAATTAACAATTGTCTTATTGCCTCTCTTTGAAATACGTTTCAGTGTTCTATTCAGCAAATTATAAAATTATATCCTTGAACATAATCCACTTAAATTCCTTAGAATTAAATTTTAAAACCCTATAATGAATTATCAGAAATTAACTGGCTCCTTAAATCCATTTCTTGTAGTATTCAAATATACGAATATTGTAATATTAAGTAGTTACAAGGCTTTTGAAATGAAGAAGATCGTACAGCTTATTAACATATTTTTGATGCAGCTAAAAGTTGAACTGCTAATGAATTCCAGGATTAGATTACTTGACAATGGAATAAACACAGACTTATTTTATTTATTTTATTTTCTATAATAGTTCTGTGTTCTGTAATGCCATTTTAATGCCATAATAATAAACATAGTCACTGGGAACAAATGCCAGCATGCAACAAAATTTCTGTGATCATAAGCTACTATGGGATCATTCAAAAGACATCACAGTGCTATAAATACTCGTGTGTAAGTTACACTAAAACCCACTGTCTGTTCCTTCTTTTGAGCACCTGGGGTTCAACAGGCCACGCCATAGCTTTGCCCTGTGTGACTACTCAGAATCTCAAATCCAGACCCTGTCCAACTAAATGCTAAGATCCTAATTCTTGCCTTGGGCCTCCTGCCACAGGCAGAGGGTTGGACTAGAAAACCTCCAAAATCCCTTCCAAGCCTATTCTATGTTTAACATAATAACTTTTTCTATTCCCTGGAATTTAAATAAAACTCTCCTTGTGATCCTGAGGCTACTGCCTCATGAAAACAAATTGTCTCATGAAGAGAAACTTCAGCTTAATACAGTGAACACTGACTTTGCAAAAGACGTGTACATAAAAAGTACATGTGATAATCCTGCCACCCTCTTTCTCACGTTTAGAACAGTGTTTTTCAGTTTTAGCAAATTTAAGATGTGTGGACTTCAACTTCCAGAATTCTCCAGCAACACAGCTGTTAGGGAATTCTTGGAATTGAAGTCCACACATCGTAAAGTTGTTGAAGTTGAGAAATGCTGATTCAGAGTATAGTGCAAAGAGAACTGCCCTTATTGTAATTACTGATGCTATTATTTGATCCTAGGTGAGAGAGATGGCTGCTACCACTTTGGGTGGTTTGCTCCAGTGCCACTTCTTGGAGATTGATAGCCCTATGCAGACTCATTTTGAGCAGCTCTGTAAAATGAGACTTCCAAAGAAAAGAAAACGAGACCTCAGTACTGTAGTGGATACCATTCCCCCTGCAGGTAAGGAGGAGGTTTCTTCAGGAAAGTGTAAATCATGCTGAAGGATTGTCAGTGGTCTTACTCCAGCTTTCTGTTTCTGATTACTTATTTTCCACCTTTCTATGCATAACATTTGAACATTTGAAAAGTATCTGCTCTTCCAAAAGTGAGTCAGTCAGGTATTTCTGACATTCAGTGCAGTCTAGTTCACAGGAAAGGGAGACCTGCATGAGAGGTTGTCATTGGGAACAACAGAGCAATCTGAAGTTCCCTAAATAATGGAAACTCAGAATGACAGTTCAATGAGCTGCATTGAATTTAGTGCAAACCACAAGAGAAGAGTGGATTCTGCAAGGGAATTGAGTCATATGGCAGAAATAGCATATTGTGGGCAATGCAGCACATCTGCATTGGATTAGATTACAAAAATTTTAAATGCACAATTTAACCTATGTTTTAGAAATTACAGGTAGTTCTCTATTTACAACCATTCAATTTAACCATGGTTAAAAGCTGTGACAGCCTCAGAAAAGTGACTAACGGCTTGTCCTCAAAGTAATGATCCTTGTACCCCCCCTGTGATCACATGATCACATTGGGTAATTTGCAAGCAGCTCGCATTTATAATGGTTGCAGCGTCTTGCAGTCATGTAATTGTGATTTGCGACCTTCTCTTTTCATCCCTTTAGAGTCCCCAAAATCTGCTCATGAAATTTAGAGAAAACCATGTAAATGTGTGTGCATGACAGTGGTTTAAAGAGCTTCAGAAAGAAAAGAGAACTGGTAAAAATCCACTCTTCCATACCCTTTTCCCATAGATAGAAGGAACTTGTCTGTTATTTGTGCCAGTTGAAGATTCCTGTGCTGTCCCATGGAAGAATTACCAACTTCTTTCTTGCAGATTTAGTTAAACGCCATGCTGGCGTGCTTGGACTAAGTGCATGTATTTTGTCCAGTCCCTATGATGTGCCCACATGGATGCCTCAACTTTTGATGGATCTTAGTGCGCATCTGAATGATCCCCAGCCTATTGAGGTATGATTCATTTTATCAGTTGTTGGAATTCTTATGCTGAAGCTTGGCCTCTTAAGTGACTTCCTGAAGCTGTTTAGTCCAGTGCTTAGAAAATTTCTGTTACAGGTACTGGCTGTTTGGTTAGTAATAAAGATCAAAACTAATTATTCAATAGTACCTTTTTAAATGGCTTTTTTGCTTTTTAGCTAGTTAACAAAGATAATCATTTACAGAGCCAGTTTGGTCTGATTCTGATAACAGTTTTATTTTATGCAAAAAAGGGGGGGTGAGGAATAGGAATAATCCTCTCACATAAAACAACACATTACGTATGCACTAGACAAAAACTAATTGTACATATCCATTAAACTTTTGTACAATTAAACTGTAAACATTTAGCAATCCATTGAATAGGATAAAAAGAAATGTATACGGTAATATACACAATTCTTAAATGATTATATATAAATGATGCTTCTTTTCAAATTTAGGGTAAGTAGCAAGTGTTTCAAATTATATTTTGAAATTATTGATTGGTAGTCCCTCTATAACCTAAAACATTTGAACAAAATCCTGAATAATATATTTACACTTAGAAAGCTGGGCCACAGCCTTAAGATCAAGACAGTTTATAGTTGTTTTAAATACATTGCCTAGATCCCTCTCTGTTTTTCTCCACACAGATGACAGTAAAAAAAACATTGTCCAATTTCCGGAGAACTCACCATGATAACTGGCAGCAGCATAAGCAACAATTCACTGATGACCAGCTGCTTGTCCTTACAGATCTTTTGGTATCACCATGCTATTATGCATAAAAGAGTGAGACTGTGTTGTAAAATCTGTACCCTTGGGCTATTTCGGAATGATCTTCTTGATATCCAGCTTGACATAGCAAAATGTCACCTTTCAAACAGTGCCTTGTAATTTTTAGACTCATTAAATGAAACCAATACTGTCTAGCCTTTTCCTTCCTTCATGTAAGAATCTCTTTAGAATTCTCATTTAAAAATACAAAATTAGAATTTATTACCCTTTTTAAATTGAAAGAAAATAATCAAATACAGATGGGGCATGTATTGAATACGGTGTCAAAGACATTGAAACATAATTTTTGCTATCACAAAGGTGCTTTTCAAAAAGCAAGTCGACTTGTGGTTTTTTTCCCCTTGAAAACATTTCGCTTCTTGTCCTAGAAGCTTCTTTAGTTCTGACTGAATGGTGGGGAATAGAAGGATTTATATTCTTTGCTGTCATCTGATCCTTAGCTCTCTAAGAGTCGTTGAGGCCACTTGGGGATTTATCTGTACTCTCAGGGTCATCTGAATCAGCGTGCAAATGGGCGTGGAACCTTCTTGGGACTGCTGAAAGGACTGTGTTGTAAAAACCAAGAAAGTCCAGTTGTCTTTTGAAAAGCACCTTTGGGTAGCCATGATCTGGATGATTGAGAATCTCCATAATTTTTGCTAGTTTTCCAGTATATTATCTTGAAATCAGTTTACATTCATCTTGCATTATATTTATCTTATGTGATGATAAAATGGGGTTCACACCACATTTACATTTATGTCAGACTAGTATGGATGATATTTTGACAGCACTGGGTGGTGTTTGCATGTGGTAGTAAACAGGATGTGACCTTGACATAATGAAGAACAACTGCACTGGATTTTACTGGCAGTCTGGTTCAGTTGTTATTCTCTTAATGCAGAGGTTCTCAACTCAAATACAGTCCCACAGGGGTCTCAAGCAACATGGAAAGGGGTCAATTTTAAAAAAAAGATTTGCATAGGTAAAGTCAGGAGAAAAGGCCCAGGTAGCATTGGGAAGATGGCAAAACCTGAGAATCTAGTAATCTGGAAAAGGGATGCATCAATCAAAAGAGTTTTATTTAACTCATTATTTTAGTTCATAAGTGAGGTTGAACAAATATGATTATCATTCAAGGGATTATGGTATTGCCAAGTTCGAGAATCTTTGCCTTAATGAATTGCCATGTGTAAAATATTTTCACTGTTCAGAAGAGGAACAAGAAAAGAGCCTCATATGAGGTCAGAAACTGGAGCATGCTTGCTTTTATGATCTTTGAATTGAACTGGTTTATAATCATGATAAAATTTATTATTTTAGTAAATAAATCACAATTAACTTGGTTTGTAAATACATACACTCATATGTTATTGTTTATTATTTATTTTCAAGGTTTATAGGTTGTATAGGTTGTTCCAGTCAACGAACCACTAGCATAAAACATAATTTGGGTACAATAAATATAGAATAGGCAAAAATTAAAATCTGAAATATATAGTAGAAATATGTGCCCAAGGAATCAAACCACCTAAAGAAGACTATTTAAAATAATTGCTCATTCAGATATAGTTACAATAACTCTTGTCTTGTAAAATACCCAAAACTTCACCAACTTTCTGAAGAACAGGAAAGATTGATAATCTTCCTTGGCAATTGGGAAGTGAAATAGTATATAGTACAGTATATAGATTATTTTGATGACAGATTTCCATTCCAGACTCTGCTTAAGAGAGGCAAATTTTGCCCTTGTTCTTGCTAAAGATAGATTGGGTTTTGTGACTGTCAAATTATCTGTCTCTTTCAGGGTCTCAGAAAAATAAGAGATTGCTTCATTTCTGTAAAGATAAAGGAAACTTAAAATGTAACTTATTGAATATAGAACCCTTTCGGATTGGGTAATTCAGAGGCTTATAGTTGGAATCCTTTTTAAAAGTACATATAGTATGTTCCTTGAAGAAGATTAGATTTCTGTTTAACTGAAGAAAAAGGCTCTGGCATAGTAACTAGTCTCTGCATGAATAAGAGAATTGTAATTTTCTTTTTAATACATCCATGCAAGTGTCTTGTATTTAAGATAAATTCTACCTTATGGAATGGCTAATACCGTAATTTCTCTTTTTCCTTTTCTTATAATTTTCAGAGTTAGATTATTTCTTATACAAATGGATTGTTTGTTGATATGAGATGAATAACTGGGCACCCAACCTATAAGAATATGCATGCCCAACTCTTCATTGTACCTTTGGGTATAAGTGTAGGTAGTAATACCATCCCAATTTTTTAAAAAATATTTTTATTTTCTTTTTAGTTCACATGCAAAACCAAGCTATGCAGTGCTTTGTGCTCAGTTCTCTTTAAAATCTTAGCTTCTAAATGTATACTGTTAATCTTTGTTTCATGGCCAGATTTTCAATAAGATCCTTCATCCAGGTACTGAATTTTAACTTTCCCTGGTTTTGTAAGTGGCAACTTACATTTTTCCAATTTAGTAGAGCCCATGGACAATAACAGGTATTTGCTATTGTTTTATTTTATGTATATATGTTAATACTGAGTGGTTAAAGTCTTTTAAAATAAAATGTTCTGTATTGATATTCCCACCTTTCCTCATTCACTCTATGTCTCCATGCTGGAACAGATACTTAAGTTGCATTAAAACACAGAAGTACTGTATCTGTCCCCACCAAATTCCTTTTTGATCTGTAACTCTGGTGGCTATTGACTCACTACTTAAAAAACATGTCCAATACATGTTACATAAATGTAAAAGATTGTATAAATTGTAGGGGCATTGCATTGACAAAGTACTGTATAGTTTGCAAAAGTTTTACATAATCCATTTGTGAGATTATCTTGTAAAGAATCACACTTTTCAGTGTTAAAATACTGCTTTAGCTTTTGTATCCAATTCAAATGCCAATTTCTTCTGGTTTATAATACTGCTGATTCACATTAATGAAGTTATTTTGTTTTCGGTTTAATATTCATTTATCATTAGTGAATGAATTGATTTTTTTACCAATATTTTTTTCTTGCTACTATCCTAAGTAATGGTATATTTTAATGTATGGTAAATAAGAGAATTGAAATCTCTCTCCCATTTAAGAAAACAAAAACAACACAGACTTGAAAATCACACACTCTGTATTTTTTTCTTTGTGAAAACAGGAATATAATATGCTTTTAAATCATCTGCCTGTTGGGAAAGCAAACATGGCAGTGTAACCTGGACAGCATGTCCTAAGAGTAAGTGAAGAAATAACATGTATAGGGTAGTGCCAAATGCATCTTCTTACTTTCAGTTGTGTACTTAGTTTAAAGCTGAATAAATTAATTATTTGTAAAAATTTGGGTATGCATACCATGTTTATCCTTCAGTGTATTCTCTCAAGTAAGTGTTTTCATTTAGGATAGGAGCTAACAATGTCTAACAAGGATATTTGGGGTCTAATCAGTCTCTTGGTGGGTTGTTTGCTTTTAGTTCTGAAAGTACATGAAGTCTTGGTATTAGAGAAGTAGATACAGTACTTTAAAAGTTGTATTGGTACTCTTCATAAAAGTAATTCAGTTAAGAGAAGTTTAAAAACTATCACATGTCTTATGATATAACAATACTTATTTGAATTATTCACATTTTACAAATCTTGTCAGCTTTAGGTTTAGAATTAAAATGCACACATATAAATTATATTCTTTTAAAATGAGATATTTTTAGAGGAAAAATCTGTAAAAATATTTGCTGTTGTTTTCTCCCTAAGCTTAGCACACAAATTTGATTTTGGTAACTTGGCTCTCTTAGGAAAAAGAAGAGTAGGATAGCTTCCAATCACAAAAAGGTGCCGAGTTGGTAAGGAAGTGCGTACACAAATCTTGTTATTTCTGATCTTATTTTTGTAAATGTTATATTCATCCATAGTCTGGTAAACTCCTGTTGGAATTATCACAATCCCTCATCTATAAAAATAATGTGGAAATTTTGACTGGTAAGATAGCAAGAATTCACACTGCTTGCTTGAATGTCTCACAAATTTAAAGAAGCTTTGCTGGTTGTCACTTTGTTCTGGGAAACCAGTTCAAAATGTTGAAAGCTTATTTTTCAAAGTCATGGCATTATAATAAAGTAAGAAAGCAAATGGGTAGCTCTGCTGCCATTATGAAGAAAAATCCATACTTGGGGGGGGTGAACATCACAAGCTGCTTGCATCCTCCTCCAGGCAGCATTTCATTGATATCACTTTAGGATTGCCTTAGTGAGAGAAAATATTAATTCTACAGTGGTATGATTGTATGTTTATGTGATTTTCAGTGACAGCGTCCATGCCTGATTGAGAAACAATATAGCTTTTGCAAACATACAAAAACAAATTATGTGACTCAAAACTTTTTTTTAAAAGGCTATGCAAAACCGCCATAATAACTGAGTTAATTGCAATCTATGTATGCACAAAAGGATATAAATCAAGATTTAACATCTCCCTCTTGCTTTAAAAAAAAATCAACTTTGTCTATCATTCCAGAGATTTTATCTCTGACCAAACATTTTCAGTTATCTGAAATGGTAGCTGTGGTTCAATTTGTAAGCAAAAAAAGGAGAAAATGAGGGATTTTGGAAATATTTCATATTTTTTCTGTTCTCCCCATCCCGATATAAATGGCAATAGCACTGGATCAACACTATACTGTAGTAAGAGTACAACATTTTTTTTTGCTCCTGTGTATTTCTGACTGGGGAACAAAAGAGAAGGCTAATTTGCTACTAGTCTCAGATGAATGTGTATATGTATATAATGCTAACTTCTCCCTCATGCTTCTCTACAACATGTAGCAAGATCCCACTGAAAAACATTTTACTAGATGATGTGTCATTAATTCTAATATATAATATACCTCCTTTTCTGTTTAGAGCTTTGTCTTCTAAATTGCAAGTTTATGGATAGTGATATCTAGAGGACACTTTGTGTTGAACACCTGCTCGTGATCTGAATAATGTTTAGGAAATTTCAAACTATGCATCCAAAGGAATGTTGGAAAGAAAGGGAAAAAGGCTCTGTTATCAGGATAACTGTCTAGCAGTTGAATAAGAACAGAACCAGATTTGGTGCAAGGGAGAACCTGGCAAAAACAGGTCAACTTTGAAAAGAAGATGGATCTGGTCAGAGTTGCAAAGAAAGTCCAAATTTCACCCAAGTACCCCTATGGGAGAAACAAGTGGGGAGCAGCTCATATGTTGGTACCTGCTCTAGGTCCTTCCTGGTGATATGACCAGAGGTGGAATGACACACCCTATTGTTCCTGATGCTACTTTCAATAATCAGAGATGCACATGAAAGAAGAACACCCATACCTGCTCATGCAACACATTACCTTGTTATACATAAGAAAATATAAATGGCTTCTGTGGCTGCCACTTCCACTGCTAGAACATCCTACCCAATTTATGTCTGATGCTGGTTTCCTAGTACATCAGACCTAGCTTTTCTTAAGAAAAAGATACCTAGATTGACTTGTGTCTCTTTTCCTTCAGCTAGAGAATCTCCCACAGGATGGACACTTTTGACTTGAACAGGTATATCTTATATTTCATAAAAATAAAAAAAAGCCTGGTCTCCCTAAAAAGCTTTGGAAGAGCTTCTGTCATGGCTGATGTCACCATGCATCTAATAAGATCAGTATCTAGAAGCCCCCCCCCCCAGTACACCTGCTGAGAAAGTAACCTGGAATAGACACAGCTGGAACGGCACATCTCTCTCTCCCCCACTCCTTTTTTTCTCTCCCTAACCTTCCTTGATGAAGAATATTTAGGCGATTATGACCACTTTGTAAAGTTGCAGCTGATTTAATAAGGGCATTATTTACAGACATGTTTCTTATCGCCAACGTCATCACTGCTGCTTTTTTTTTTAAAAAAAAAATGTTTTAGGGAAACTTCAAGAATAATGCATTTATTGTGCCCTCGTTTTTGTGAATTGAAATCCTGCTAGTTAGAATGGTGGAATATAATCTAGGTTTTTAGATAACTTGTTTTTTTTTGTTTTTTTTATATATTTCACCTACTTATGTAGAATAATATTTTGTGGAGTTAGGGATATTAATAGTAGTTTACTTTTAGTTGAATAGTATCCTGGGATTAGGTTTGGGAAGTCCGGGGGGTGGGGGGTGGGGGGTGGGGCTTTTATTATAGCATTGTGATGTACTTGTGATGTGTTTTTTTTTTATGATGAAAAATAATAAAAATTTATACTTGAAAGAAATCCTGCTAGTTATGGGTGAGTATCGGCTGGACCTGGCGTGTGCCATTCAAAATGCTCGACAATTCGCACTCTAGACGCAGGGGTAGTCAACCTTGGCTCTTTTATGACTCGTGGACTTCAATTCCCAGAATTCCTGAGCCAGCTTAGCTTAGCTTAGCTGGCTCAGGAATTCTGGGAGTTGAAGTCCACGAGTCATAAAAGAGCCAAGGTTGACTACCCCTGCTCTAGAGATAGGATGGAGAAAAAGGCACGGTCGCCTTGCGTTGTTCTGGATATTTATATGCATGTCCACCAGCAAATGCTACTTTTCAGCAGCGTCTGCTACTACCTCTCAGACCCGCCCCAATTTCAAAGCAGGTTCCCCGAAAGGAAAGAAAGGGGGAAGGGACTGAGCCAGCCGCTTCGATCGGAGCGAGACGGGTACCGCGCACCGGTTGCGACCATGTTTCTGTGCAGTGCGGGGCTCGAAGGCGCTCTTCCAGGCCAGGCGCTTGCGTGAGTGTGCCATTGCCGTGCGTCCTGCTCTTGGAAACCGCTCGCCCGCTCGCTCAGGGGCGAGACGCCAGAGCGGTTTCGGTGTCGCCGAGGGCGCGGAAACGGCTCCCGGAGCAAGGCGAGGAAACCTCTCGGAGGGGAGACTCCTCTGAGCCGGCCGTCGTCCTCGACCCGCGCGTTGCAAAAAGAAGCGCGACGCCATTTCAGCAGGCGCGCGCGGCGAGGCGAGGCTTGCCGGGCTCGCAGCGGCCGACCCGCTCCCTCCTTTTCCTCCGGTCCAAACGCAGGAGGGAGACGGCGGAGGAGGTCGAACCGCTCCCTCCCGCCGACGATGACTTCACCCTCCGCCAGCCGCAGCCCCGACTGCAGCGGCCTCCTGCCCCTGGTGCGGACGGACGCGCGAGGCGCGTGGCCCCGGCTGCCTCCACGGAGCCCGCGCTTGGTAAGGACAGGCCGGTCCGCCGATGGACGGAGGGCTTCGTTCCGGCGGGTCGGTCGGTCGGTCGGTGGGTGGACGGAGAGCGGAGCGCCTGGGTCGCCCTAGCCTGGCCGGTGAAGGCGGCCGCGTCCTTTGTTACCCCGATGCGCACCTGAGCCCGCTCGGCTAAGCTAGAGCTCGACAGGTCCAGCCGTATTCGAAAACCGCCCGCCCTTCTGATTAGGCCCCGCGCTTTTCTTACGAGCCCTACGGAAGAGGGAAAGGAAGGACAGAAGGAAGGAAGGAAGGACAAGAAAGAAGGTTATTGCCTTCTTTCTCAAACTCTCAAAAGGCCGGAAAGGTACTTCTGAGAATTTTGACCCGACTGAATCCCATTTAAATCAGGGCAGCTGTATAGTGTACTTATAAAGCATGGGATAGATTTTTTTAAAAAAACCAATATAGGAGAATTATGATATTATCTAGTCAGGTAATTAAATGTTGGCAATAGGGTTGCCAGGTGTCCACTATCTGAGTGGACAGTCCGCTTTTTTCACATTATGTTCACTATTTTTTTTCACAAAATAGTGGACATTTTTTTTATTCAAAAGCTTTATGATGAAATGGTACGTAATCTAAAGCTGTACAGTCTACTTTTTTTACTATTTAACACACCCCACCCCCCCCGCTTGTCCGCTATTTTTTGGAAGCAGACCTGGCAACCCTAGTTGGCAAACAAACAATCAAGCTCAGGAAGCACCAAGGACTCCTCAGAAAAAGAAAACAAAACTCGTAGGGGATAAAGAAACGGAATGAGCTGAGCTGCTTTATGTGGTCTTTTTTGCCATGTTATTTTTTAAAATTAAATGACCACTCCTTTCGGTCGGGCTGAGGATGGGAATGACTGAGATAAAATGCCAGGTGTGGGACTGAAATGATGGCCTTCAATAAGCCAAGAGTTGAGATGATGGGCATGATTTTCGGTCAAAGACATTCATTTCTCTGCCCAGAGACAATTTTTCCAGTTCCCGTGATCATGCTTTGGTTCCTTACATCCTAGTCCAGGAGACATCCTGGCCCCATATGTATGCTTCAGCCCTTTCGGTCCCAGCCCTGTCATTCCAGTCTCACACCTTCCTTCTGTTCCTACCACCAACATGTTAGTATCAGTTTGGAAGCTGTTGTTCTAGTCCTTGGTCTGCGATTTCAGTTACAGTCTTGGTCTGGACTTGTATCCAATGGTCTGTCTTTAGAGTATTATGGAGAAAGAAGCACTCTCACCAATCTCATTTCATTGCAATTGTAAAATGGACATTCTTGTACTTCATTTTAGAACAATGTATATTTATATATAAAGTCCAGGAAGATCTTAGCACAACTCTATTTGGTGTGCCAATTATACCTTTTACAAGATTGGGAGGGCCCTTCAGAGAATTACTCATGACCTAGTCACCTTGTGCAACAGGTTCTACATGGGACTGCCCTTGAAGACCACCCAGAAGCTTCAACTGGTCCAGAATGTTGCACATGAACAGTAATAGGCATGCCCCGGTATATGCCCATGTAACACCTTTATTCTGCAAGCTCCACTGATTGTTGGTTTGCTTCCGGATACAATTCAGGGTGCTGGTAGTTACCTATATAGCCCTTCATGACATAGGGCCTGTTACTTCAACATCTGTCTCCTATAATATCTTCCTTGCCAATTGTATACTGCAGGGTTGGCACATTTAGGGTTCCTTCAATTTGGCAGAGTGTGAAACCTCTCACTTAACATCTTTTATTGATTTTATTGCAATTACTTTAACTGTTATGAACCACAGAGTCAGTGAGAGTCATTATTACTATTATTATATTGTTAGAATGAGTGCTGGTTGTAAATAAATGACAGTAAATTATTTCCTGTTGAATTCATTATTTCTGAATTTTTTGCTGATAGGAGAAGCTCACATGGGATTCTCTGCCTCAAGTGCCAAAATGCCATGCATATGGATTTTGAATGCTGTTTGTTCCCTGCCTCTCTTTGTATCCAGGTCATTGGTCTTCCAGTATGACCAGAGTTCATTATATTTCCAAACTAATGCATGAGAGATATGTTTGACTTTTTCATCTTTTCTGATACTGTACTCTTAAATTTAAATGAGTTGTCACAAAGTCTCCATGTGGTTTGGGGGAGGCAACACTCTTTTAACCATAAATTATCTAAAGTTGTCAGAAATTGAACCCAGATCTTCTATATCCTTTAATGCAATAATACAAATAATTTTTTGCCCCTGAAGAAAGAATTGGGAGGCACTGTTTCTGTGATGGTATAAATGGGCAATAAGGGATTCTTTTTACCACATGACTCTAGCTTCAAGTGATATTATCTGAGTGGGGAAAAAGCATATAGCAATTTTAAAAATATATGTAAAAATGTTTCTTACTTTTTGATACTAAATCCAGTGTCATTAATGTGTGCGTGGGTGTGCTTTCAGTAGGATATGAGACCCAATCCATTTTCTGTAAGGTTACCAAATGTCAAACTCTTCTATATATTTAAGGGCTAACTTGAACTAGTAGAATTGAAAGACTTATTTCAACCCAGCTATTGATATACACTCTTTAAGACAAACTAACAACTCTTTTAATGTTTATTAACTAATTTTTGGTATTGGGGGGTTGTATTTGTACACATAGGTCTCACCAAGTATGCACCTCAAACGACCAATGCCAAATTCACAATTTTGAAGTGCCAGGACAGCAGCAGGTTACTTTCTGTGATGATGAACCTGACGGAGTGGGCTGAAACCAAGTGGACAGATCGCTCAAATTCCTCAGCACAACTGCCTCCACCATCTTGGGGAAGCAATGACTCCTTTTCTTTCCAAGGGGATCTGCAGGAGATAATCCACACAGCCACTTTAGTTACATGTACCTTCTTGCTGGCTGTCATTTTCTGCTTAGGTTCTTATGGCAACCTTATTGTTTTTTTGTCCTTCTTTGACCCAGCTTTCCGGAAGTTCAGGACCAACTTTGATTTTATGATCCTCAATCTATCCTTCTGTGACCTTTTCATCTGTGGAGTGACTGCCCCCATGTTCACCTTTGCTCTCTTTTTGGATTCTGCAGCTGGTATCCCTGATGCTTTTTGCTTTACCTTCCACCTTACCAGCTCTGGGTTTATCATCATGTCCCTCAAGACAGTGGCTGTTATTGCCCTTCACCGATTAAGCATGGTGTTAGGGAAGCAACCCAATCGAACTGCCTCCTTCCCTTGCACTCTATTGCTTACCCTGCTCCTCTGGGCCACAAGCTTTACCCTGGCCACTCTAGCCACCATGAGGACCCATAAATCTCGTCTTTGCCTTCCTATTTCCAGCCTGATCAGTGGTGAGGGAAAGATCATCCCTTATTTGTATGTTATTGATTTCATCTCCTGTGTGACATTAGTTTCAGTCTCTTATATCATGATAGCCCAAGCCTTGAGGAAGAATGCCCAAGTGAGAAAATGTCCCCCCATCATCACAGTTGATGCCTCCAGGCCTCATCCTTTTGCTGGAACACTTGCTGCTGGTTGTGCTGATGGGGTACGGTGCACTGTGCCAGCTCTGTATAGAAACCAAAACTATAACAAGCTGCAACACATCCAAACCCATGCATACATGAAGAACTTTGGCCAGCTGTCTGCATCTGCAGCCAGCAGATTTCAGTTGGTGTCCATGATTAACTTGTCCACGGCCAAGGACTCTAAAGCTGTGGTGACTTGCATTATTATTGTTCTTTCTGTTTTAATTTGCTGCCTTCCATTGGGCATATCTTTGATACAGGATGTTTTGTCCAGGAACAATGGCATTGTGCTTTATCAATTTGAACTATGTGGATTTACGCTCTTTTTTTTAAAGTCTGGATTGAATCCTTTTATATATTCCCGTAACAGTGCTGGCTTAAGAAGGAGGGTCCTTTGGTTTATACAATACTTGGCCTTTGTTTTTTTCTGTTGTAAACAGAAAACACGGCTTCAAGCCGTGGGCAAAGGGGGTCTGGAGGCCAACAGAAATAAATCATCTCATCATGAGACCAACTCAGCTTATATGCTATCTCCAAAGCCTCAGAAAAAGTTTGTGGACCAAGCGTGTGGCCCTAGTCGCTCTAAAGAAAGTATGCTGAGTCCTAAGGCTTCTGTTGGCCATCATCATTATGGAGGAGGGCAGAGTAGTTCCACCCCCATGAATACCCGTATTGAACCTTATTATAGTATTTATAACAGCTGCCCTTCTCAGGAAGTGAGCACTCCCAACAGCTTGCAACCAACAAATTCTCCATTCAGATATGCCAACTCCTATATTGCCATGCATTATCACCCAACAAATGACTTAGTGCGGGATTATGACAGTACTTCTGCTAAGCAGATACCAGTGCCCTCGTTGTAGCTGGTGGGAGCCGGCAGTGTCCAATGTTCTACCACAATGGTGGCTATCATATCTTGGCAAGTTGTGCCATGAGTCATCCATACGATGTACCATTATTGCATGTGCATGAATGTTCAATCCCTCCACACATTAAGTTGATTTTACTTTAGTCAGGCAGCAGCTGGGCTAGGAAAGATAGGACTGCAAGCTTCATGCCTTAGCCAGGCTTCTAGGTTCTCCTATATGTGTCTTGCAAATTACTATTCCATATTCTGCCATTTCATTAGTAGTGTTTCTCCTTTTTAAAGATTTCTGTGTGTGTACAGTATTATAACCCCAGAAGATTTCTTCTGAACTCCAGCAAAGATCAATCTTTTAAAAAAATGTCTGCTGCCACAAATCATCATTGTTTTGTGTTTTATAACTGAATTGCTTTCTTGTTTATATGGTGAGTGCTCGAAAATGTGTTTTACAAAGTTGCTTTTTAAAACATTTCTATCTGAGTTATGTCTATTATTGATTTACCATGGAATATTTTTTGCAGATGAGAGTTAGTTATGTACAAAGATAAAAATAAGTTATAAAATCTAGTGCCCAGTTCAGAAGTGTGGGATTTCTTTTGTGGTTCCCTCTCATTCTATTGACATTTGCTCAGCTGATCACTTTTGTCTTTTTCAAAAGCACAAACTGAATCTGCAGCCCTTCAGTCTTAGGTCTTTTCCTACTACAATAAGACATTTAAGACTGTAAGGTAACTAAGGCACTTCTTGCAATATCTTTTTTCCCCTGTTCTGTCCTCATGGTGTTGCCTTCATCTCATCTTACCTCCAACTACCTTAAAACCCTTCTTAGCAGTTGTTCCAGTATTAGTTTACTATTTTTCCTATAAGCAGGCAAACCATGGCAGTTTTGCTATGAGTGCAATCTGATGTGCTTCAGTTGATTGGTGTCAAAGTCAGGTGAATGCTACTGGGTTGGGATTAACCCCAGACTGAGTGGCCAGTTTAGGCTAATGCTGGCACTCTTTCAGTTCTTGGGCATTCACTTACAGAGACAATCCACTTTAGTTATCAGCTTAAAATCTCTGGAATAGCTACAAAGCAACTAGACTGAAGCAGTTGTAATGGGCTGAACTTGCAAGTGAGCAAGAAAAATGTCTCTACAGTTTCATTTCAATCAAAGTTCCTGTGACTTTCAGCTTTTCAGTATGGATTTAGCCCTTTTGTAACAGCATGAAACCCATGCCCAAAGGAACATGAAAACTTCACCTAGTAGCCAGGTTGGTGTTGGTCATGAGTTAAATATTATTCCAGAAGATCACATTAGTGCAAAACATTTGTGCAAAAACAAAGCAAGGCTTTAGAGATGCCTAAACTAGTGGGTTTCATCTGTTAAAACTTGTCTTCTCCCCATCCCATGTTAGAAGTGTGTGATCGATGTTTTGGCTGGTGATATTATATCATCAAATCTGTCTGGAGTGTGCTTTTTACAATATAAATAAAGATGATTTGTCAGTGTCATGCCTATGTCAGGATAAAGATAACTAGTAAGAGCAGCAAATTTTATGACAGTATAGTTTTCTAGCACACCAAAGACTGATGGGAAGCATGGACTCAGCCATGAGGAAGAACACTTAGGCGGCAGCAGTTATCTTGGCTAATTCTGTGATTGAGATTCAGGGATTGTATCTAGAACAGTGATGGCGAACCTTTTAGAGACCGAGTGCCCAAAAACTGGCCCTGCCCCCACTCCACCCCCTGCCCTGCCCCCGTTCTGCCCCTGCATCCCCTGCCCCGCCTGCCCACAGGACCACTCACCATCTCCAGGGCCCGCCGCAGATCACCCAGGCAGCCCAGCAGCGCTATGGAGGCCACAGCCTCTGCCCGCGCCTTGCAGCATCAACTGCATAATGGGGTGTGAGGGCAGAGTTTTATCTACGCTGCCTGGCTGCCATGTCCTTGGCTGCGCTGCTCCGTGTGGGCCACGCTCGGGGGCGAGTCTCCTTTAGGGGGGCTGCTGGAGAGGGGGTCATGGGGGGAGGCAAGGCTGGGGCAACAGCACGTGTGCCCACAGAGGGGGCTCCGAGTGCCGCCTCTGGCACCCATGCCATAGGTTTGCCACCACCGATCTAGAACCTTTCCTGTATAAAGCATATTCATTGACCTAGAGCTCTTTTTTCTTGGAAATTTGAGATCTATCACACAAAATAGTTTTAGTAATTTTTGCAACCTTTTTTTGCCCCATTTTGCTAAATCAAAATTGTAGGTTTGAAGCATGTTCTTTCTCATAATGTATGCCCTATGCATTTAAAACGTGTGTGCATGTGTGCATGTATGATTTACAGGGCAAGAAAGATGATAGCCTTGAGCCATTTCACTAATATTTAGTTGCATATATACTGGGACCATGTTCCATATGCTAGAATTTCAGAATTTCAAACTCACCTTTAGGGTTATTTGCAAATTTTTCACAATCTGTATTTACAATACATCTAAAATAATTAAATATCCAAATTGTTCCAGAGTTACAAAGGTCTCTAAGACCTATGAGATTGTATTAGATGATTTTGGATCTTCCAGTTCAGAACAAGTATACTGTAGAGGGAAGTTTTTACCTTAGCCTCATGTCTGACATCCTATATTTTTATATAGATTTTTTTATGGGGAAAATATATCAATCCTATTTCCAATAATAAGACTACACTGAGAAACAGGAATAATAGTCTGAGCTGTTATCCCAAAATCCTGTGTCTGCCCCTGAATTGATCATTTCCCCCATTGAATTTGTCTTCTAGGAATAGGCTCAAGAGAAATAGTTCTTTTTCAAAAATTAATGGAATTTGAAGAATATTTGATTTGAATGATATGAATGGATTTGAATTTAAATAAATCAACACACAAAATGTGGGAAACTTCTGTAAGAGGTATTTCAATATAGGAGGAATTGGTACTCATTTGGGGATTATAAATTCAACAATGAGAGACTACACTATTTTTTTTCATAGGACATTAGTCATACTCAAAAAAAAATGTTCTGGGCCTCAACACCGTCAGTCAAAGAAATAGAAATTCTCCCAATATTATATGGAGATCACAACTCAATTTTAATGACGCGAGTTTCAGTCATTTTTTCATTTTAGATAGAAAAATGAATGAAAAGACTCCATGGCACAGTTTTACAAAAATGTAAACAAGAATTGAAATTCTTTTAATACAAATAGGACACCAGGAATCTCCCACATTACTATGTGGGATACAAGTAAAGCACATACAAGGGGCTTTCTAATTAAATTAGCTGCAAAATAAAAAAAAAACAACACAACAAATGAAAAATACAGTTAAAAGCCAAAATAAGAAAATTTGAAGCATGAAACTAACTCAAGATACAATTGATTAAAGAATTGCAAGACACTAAACTGCAATTAAGTCTGTTAGAAACAAGAGTTACAGAAGAAAATAAAATTTGCCAAACAAAAACTCTGAGTAAACAAACCATGAAAAGTATTAGCTTATCAACTTGTAAAAAAAGAACACAATAACAGCAATAAAGAGTCCAAGTTGCCATATTCAAGATAGAAATAGAATAGAATAGAATAGAATAGAATAGAAAGGTTTCTATAAATACTTATATTCAAAGACTAAATTGATAAAGCACTTATGAATAAATATAATGTAAAGTTGGTTATCAAAGAATGTAATAGAAGAGAATATATTTAGCTGAAGTTGAACAGTGGAGTTCTTGGTACTCTTGAGTTTAATTGTTTGCTTGTTGTCATTTCATTATCTGACTAGATAATATTCTTTAAGATAGTCGTTTTTTAATGTCCTCTGACTGCTGATTCTGCTAGTTTTCTGCCTGTCTGTCCTATATAGTGGCTTGTACTGTATGTTGTAGTTTGCTCCTGTTTCTTGAGCTATTGGGTCTTTTGGTTTACTGAAAAAGATTTGGAGGGCGTTTTTAATTAGTTCGTGTGCTGCGCTGATGCTGTGTAACTGTAATAGCCTGTTGATTGTTTCTGAGATGTTTTTGATGTATGGAAGTGTTATTCTTAAAGGAGATTGTGCTGTGGTAGGCTAAGTGTTCAGGTACTTATCCATAAAGTTTTGTGGATATCAATTATGTTGAAAGATATTTATAGGTGGTTTGTTTTCTTTTTATGAAGTTCTGGGTTGCTGCAGTGTGTTTGTACTTATATAAACAAACAGTTTCCTAGGAAATACCCTGGTTTTAAGAGGCCACTTTTGTAGAATGGTAACTTAAAACATTACTTTGGTTCCTTATCAGTATTCTAATAATTGTATCTTTCAGATGATTCAAGAAGTATTTGATTTTTTTTTAATACTCCAAATATTCCAATACTTCATCAGCATTGCTTCTCATTCAGTTGAATCTGTCTGCTTCCTAATGCAGCTTTTCCTCTGTGTTCTTAGCACTGGCTCATTCATAGTTTTCAACACAGTAGACAACTGGTGCCAGAAAAGCTTTTGTTTGTGTTCCTCAGGACTCCATTTCAAGTAGGTTTTCCTTTGTAATAGTTTTCTAAGCTTGCTGAATTTCTTTGGAATGCTGTTGGCTGGCAGATCTTCCAATACAACCATAATGAGGGAATCTTGGTTTTCAGTGAGAACCCGGTGTTCAGCAAAGTACAGCTCATACTGGCACCAACAGCTGTGGACAAAGCTGGGTGATAGCACAAAAAGAACTTTATGGCTATTCTCGATACAGTAAAAAATGTTTCCAAGAACTGGATGCCCTGGCATGAAATCCCTTTCATGATAACATACTTTAAATCCACTGGCTTCCAGGTTTTTTAATAGAGTTTCTTTAGTCCAGGAAGCATCATTTTCACTGTATGAAATGAAAGCATCGTATATTTTGTGTTCTGGTCTCTTCTCATATTGTTTCCTTTTAGCCTTGCACCAATACCAACCCATCTTTAAATACCATGGAACATCAAAATGCCAGCATAATACAGATATGACGGACATAAACAAAATGACCGTAACAACTGTAATTCCAATTTGAAGACCAAGAGAACAATACAACATTGTTAGATGACTGTTTTGCAACATAAGACCTCGCTTTTTCTTTGGAAAACCACAGAAAAGTCTTTCTTGGCCATTTATTTGCATTTGTGGATTAGCAAGGTATGTGTTTGCAAACCAGTATAATTCACAGTTACAGAAAAAGTGTTCCCCTTGAAGGGTTAAAATTTTCAAGTTGGTCAAATGGAGGAACATGTCTTTCATAAGAATGGCAATGGCATTATTGCTAATATCCAACTCAACCAAAGATTTAGGTAAAGACCCAGGTTGCAGAAAAAATATTTTATTTTCTGACAGATTCAGATATTTCAGTTCAGGCAGAAATGTCCCCATGTGACCCAGCAGATTTGTAATTAAATTATGGCTTACATCCAGATTATTTAGGGAAAGGTACGAAGTGTTCACATTCAGTTGCTTTAAAAGATTTCTAGAAAGATTGAGTAATTTTAAACTTTGCTCTGCCCCATGGAAAGGGAAATTACGTATGTTATTTTTACTAAGATCACATTCCTCTAATGAGTCTGGGAGATATGGTGAAATTTTTTTTATTTTATTGTTTTGAATTTTAAACACAGTTAAATTTGGGAAAAGATTAGGGCTAGCTTTTCCTTGTAAGTTACAGTTGCTTAAATCAAAATGACGCAAAGATTTTGGTAAGTAGTGGAAATTGTGTATGGATTTATTGCTAAGGTCAAGAAAAATATGTGGGTTTTTTGTGTTTTGAAACCCTTCCGGAAGTTCTTCAGTGAAACAATGTAACATTATTTGATGAATTGTGGATTGTGGAAAATTTGTATATGAAATGCCTCCATTAAAGAAATGCTTTTGATTTCTTATTGTAAGTACAGGATTAAAATTAGACATAAGTGCTTCAGCGTTGTATATAAATGGATTCCCCTGAAGAAATACCTCTTCTATTTGAGAAAGTATTGCAATGAATTCTTTTGGTATTTGGTTAATTTGTGTGAAAGATAAATCAATGCTCTTGAGACCTCTCGGTAGAATGAGGTTTTTCAGAGTTTTAAGGGGATTGTGACTGAGATTTAAAAACAGAAGATTGTTGTGCTGCAGATTATAGCTGTCTTTTGCAGATTTGGTATTTATAAATATTTTGTTATAACTCACATCAATTAAATACACACTCTTCATTTCAAGGAATAACGGAATCAGGGTTGCGATATCTGTCTCAAGGTTGTTGAGACTTGCATTAAACTTTTTAATTTGGTCCAGTGTAGCTTTGCAGAAAATGGGATCCATTTTCCCCCTCAATTCATTCTCAGTTAGTTTCCTGTTTGATAGATCAAATGTGCCATTTGCTGGGATTCCACAACTTGCACTAATTTGTAATGTTGAGGATGAAAATCTTGTTTCCTTTTTGTTGTATTGTTCATCACCAAGAACATTCCACTTTAATACTGAATTGAGATTTAAAAGGCTTTCAGCTTCTTGTTGCTTCTCTGCTGGCTTAGGAGACAATGTCATGCTCCTTAGAGATGGGTCAGTCAATGAATCATTTATTATTCCATCAGTTTGTGAGAATTTATGAGATGACCTATGCTGTGGTTGGATATTAGATAAAACAATTGTTGGATCAACTTGGAAACTATAATTGTGTCGCATATTTAAAATGTTAAGTATATTGAGGCCTGCTTTCTTTTTTGCAGTCTTTGTTCTTACATTATGTAAAAAGCTGAGGCCTCTCCTTGGAATTTGAGATTCAGGGAATGAAGAAGGACTTGACTTGGACAGAAGACTTTTATTGTCTGAATGCTGAAATTGCTCATCTCCACTACAAAAGAGAATGATGAGATAAAAATGCAAGGTTTTGATGAAGAATCCCATCCTAAAGACAAAATAAAAACAGCAAATGTAACATAAATTCAGTTTTACAACTTCACAAATCAGAAACTTTTTAGTTGACAAAATTATATTTATATTTATCTTATGTTTTCAATATTTTCAGCCTTAGCTTTTTTAACAGAGATAACATTTTAACCATTCTTTAACTTTCATTTGGAAGAGCCATGGTGGCACAATGATTAGAATGCAGTATTGCAGGCTAATTCTGCTGGTGAGTTCACTTGTCACCGGCTCAAGGTTTGACATAGCCTTCCATCCTTCTGAATTCAGTAAAATGTAAAAAGTAAAAAGACTAGGTAAACCCCTTAGAGAGGGCTGTAAAGCATCATGAAGCAATATATAAGTTTAAGTGCTATTGCTAAGTGCTATTTATCACCTTTTCTATTCCTTGCGTTCCTACTCTACATAGTTCTTTCAGGAGTCAAATATGTTGGTGGGCTGTGAGTCTCAATTCAGTTTGTTGTTTATAGCTTCATATGTAGAAAATGAATTATGCTTTGGCACCATCAAAGCACCCCTTTGCTTTCTATGATCAGTGAATGGTGAAATCAGGTTTTATATATGATCGATATGAGCTATGAACACAATTCATATTTACAGATGAAGATGTTTTAAAATAACAGTTTTCTAAATATTGTAGGAAGGGTTAATAATAATAATAATAATAATAATAATAATAATAATAATAATAATAATTTAATTTATATACC